GGGGGGGGCAGTTTGTTTTGACTCCAATGCAGCCCCCCTCCCCAACCCCGTACTCTGGCCATGAGGATCTGGCCGTGTGAACCAGCATATGGGTCATTGTCATACGATGGGGGGGGGGCTTTTAATCAATCCACTCCCACTCCCACACTCACTGCGGACAGGAGGGGGAGGGGTTCACAGTGGACACTCGGGCCCTGACGCTATTTGTGGTCCCTGGGACAGTGCGGCTTGTTTAAACACCCGCACTGGAGAGGCGTCCTGTTCTGGAGACTCAGGTCCACTACACACAATGTAGACCCAGCTAGAGGGTGCAGCCCCACAGCTAGGGGGCGCTGGTATGCGCAACAAAGCAAAAAGAGTGACCCGGAAAGCACAGGTGGAACCTCTTCATCGTACTTAGACAACCCTTTGGGAGATGTCTGCTGAGCCTCCTGAAGGCACTGATGGCCGGAGAGACCCTCATGCGACGGGCAGCCCCCCTACCCCCCGGAGGCTCACCTGCACTGACTGGTCGCAGCTGCCATCCGGCTTCTCGGTCTTAACGACAGGCAGTTTGGGCTCCGCCTTTCCATCGCCTGGCTCCGCCCCCCGGCCCGCCTTCTCCTGCGAGTCGTCCTTGTCCAGCAGATAGCGCAGCAGCGCGTTGTCCTTCTTCTTGGGGCTGACGGGCTCCTGCTTGCCGCCGAGCTCGGCCGCCCCCATGCCGTCCGGACACAGCTCCTTGCCGGTGGCCTCGGCGGTGAGCCGCGCCAGGTCCACGGGCGATGTGCTGTTCTGCAGCAGCTGGTGCAGGATCTTGTGCTTCTCCTTGAGCGAGGTGGTATGGGCCCCCACCCCGCCACCCGGGGTGTCCTTGCAGGTGGGGTCCCCCGGGGCTGCGGGAGAGGACGGGTCCACAGGCTCTGTCTTGGTGAGCAGCTGCAGCAGCTTGGTGTGGCTCTTCCCCTCGTGGGACCGGCCCTGGAGTTCTGGCCTCTCACTGCCGCTGCCACCATACTGCCCGGGGGGGCTCTCCTTCTCCTCCTTGGGTTCGATGGGGGCCTCTTGCTGCTGGGGTGGGTCGGGGGGGCCCTGCTCGCCGTAAGCCTTGGCGAGGGCGTGGGGGTTGGGCGAGCCCACCTTGGCCTCGGGGGACCCCAGAGCGGCGCCCAGGGGGACCGTGTGACACTCGCTGAGCACCTGCAGAGCGTTCAGTGATGTGCTGGTGTAGCTGTGGCCGTTTCCCGGGCCACCACACATGCCGGCGGGGGAGAACTGCGGGGGAGGCACACGGGGGATGCCGGGGTGCCGGGGCGACATCATGGTGGGCTGGGGCCCGGGAGCCAGGCAGGGGCTGCTCTGCGACGGGCTGCCCATCCGCAGCCCATACTTAGGAGCCTGGACAGGGGCTGCCGGGTGGCTGGGTCCTGGGCCACGGAAGCGGTACCCGTGAGGCGGCTCCTTCAGAGCGGCGGCGGTGGCGAAGCCCGGGTTACCGCCGGCGGGGGCCTCAGATGTTTGGAGGCTAGGCGGGACACCACCGGAAGAGACAGGACCCATCGTTTTCCCCATCCCCGGGCAGCCGAGCTCCGGGTTCATGCTGCACACCGGCGGCTCTCTAGGGGGCGCCGGAGAGGCAAGAGAAGCAAAACAGAGACAAAACATGGCTTGAGAGGGTTGTGAGGAGGCAGAGAGAGTCCCAGAGCCGTCCTCAGACACACGGGGAAGAGACCGGCGGCCCCACAGCACCACGAACAGACGTGACAGAACGTCATCCCTGCTGAAGAGGGTCAGGGTGGGGAGGGGGCATGCTCACCTCTGCAGGACGTGCAGTGACATGTAGAGCTGCGGCTCGTTGGTGGCCGGCGACCGCACCAGCTTGCTCTTGGTGTGGGCCGACACAATGGTGCCATCGGACAGAGAGAAGCGGTACATGGGGCTGAAGGCCTGTCCCTGCCTCAGCACTGCGGGGGGGGGGGGGGACAGGGGCGTGAGACGTGTCGCATTGGCACGCGCGATGCCACCGCTGTCCGGGCCGAGCCCGACTCCGACTCACCTTCCTGCTGGTGCCGCTTGGCGAAGGACATCTCGCCGTCGCTCTGCAGGTGGAAGCGCTGGATGCAGCGCCGCACCAGGTCCTCCCAGCCCGGCTTCATGGAGGCTCGCAGCAGACTGGTATCCAGTGAGGTGATCTTGCCTGGGGGGGCAGAATCAAGGGCAGAGCCACTGCTAACTCAACAAGCGGGGGCATGGAGCAAAACGACAAAGCCGCCTTCCTTCCGGAACGATATATTGAATATACCGTGATTGATCCCCCCCCCAAGATTAAATACAGTTTTGCAGCCGCTGACACTTTTTAAAGTAATAGTTCCCTAATTCTAGGTGTTACAGAGGTCCATAGGCATTCAGGGCTTGACATCTATTTCTCACAATGGGGGAGAATGCCCCCTTTATGTATGGCACATAGGAAGCAATTTTAGATTTCACTGGATTGCAATAAAAAAAAAAAAACCTGTGCATTAGCCAATGGATTTTTAATGGAATCTGCTTCTTTCTTTCGCGTGCGTAATTATAACTTTTGTTTTGTTTTCCGAAAATTATAAGTTTTCTTTTGTGATCAAGAAAATAACTTTTGATTGAGAAAACAGCTTTGGCTATGCTGAGATGAAAAGAGAAATAAGTTGTGATTTAGACACAAGACAGTAAAGATACTGACGGATGTCCTTGTCTATCCCACGAAAAATGATCTGATCCGTGACTCAAAAACTGCGATATGATCGGAACCGTGGGCTTTGTGATCTGTGGCACCCCTAACAGGCGCCCCCCCCGCACCTTGCAGGTCCTGCCGGGTGGTGAAGCTCTCCTGGGTTGGAGCCGCCGGCCTCTCCTTCATGGGGATTCTCCTGGCCACGCAGATCAGACATGACTGCAGGTCTGTATGGGGAAGCAGACAGAAGCCAGGTCACCTGCGGCGGTTGGAGCAGAGTGGCACCGTGGCAGGACCCGTCCCATTCCAACCCAGACTGCACAAGCTTCCGCCCTGCCTCTCCCGTAGGGCCCCCAGGGAATCCCCCTCCCCCCTGGAGACTCACCTTCACCCTCCTCGGTGAAGGAGCGCGGTTCAGACACCGCAAAGCACTGCATGGTCTCATACTTCTGGCGCGCCTCTGCACCGCCGCGCGCCTCCTCGTCCGCCTCGCATTGCGGGTTCACCAGCATGCGGCATGTGAATGTGTGGCTGTTCCTGCGGGGGTTCTCACCGGACCAGGGGGCGCCGTTCACTGGGGAGGGCGGCATGGGAAAGAGGTGTCACACCAGGGCCCGCTGCCCGCACCAGCTAGATCACACGTGCCATGCGCATTCAGAAGAAACCACCAGCGTGACATTAGCGATGAGCAAGTCCTCAGGAAAAGAACATGGTGGGGGGCAGAGCACAGTGGGGGGCGGAGCACAGTGGGGGCGGAGCACAGTGGAAGAAGTGCATTGTGGGGGTGGTGGGCAGGCTCACCAAGTGACTTGGGCAGCAGGTTCTTGATGAACTCGGCGTGGTCGCCCACATGCAGGACGCTGTACACACTGGTGTTCATTAGCTCCTCCTGGTTGTAGTGCAGGTACTGCGTCACGTTCTCAGACACAAAGACGATGTGCCCATCCATGTTCACCACGAAGAAGAAGCCGTCCAGGGCCTGTGCAGTTGGGGGGGGGTTCACCGTGATGTGAAATAAAATGAGAATTTGCCGTGTACCTTTACATGCATCTCGGGATGCTTCTTTTTGCATATTCCATCACGCTCTCCTTTTCACACACACACACACACGCACACACACACACGCACACACACACACATGTGAGACTGAAGCTTGGGTTCCAAGAGCAGGGTGAGCCCTCCATCCAGTGACCCTGTAGAATTTTTGGGGGGGGGGGTTCTGGGTTAAGGGCCTAATGCCGAGCCCAAGATGCAAACCATCAACCTTCCGATCACAGGCGCAGAGGTCTAGCCCACTGAGCCATCCTGAAGATTCACCAGTACGATTAACACTATCGTGCTCCTGCCCTACAGAGGGAGCGAGGGTTCTCCATACGGCGGGGACGCCAACCTCCACCATAGAGGGGGGGAATTTGTGGTAATCCCACATCGCTGTTGAGTTAATTCTCATCTGGGAGCAAAGACATAAGAGAATGACAGAAAAACCCTGTACCCCCCAGTAATTCACCCTCTGTCTGCGGTGAGCTAATTACCACCAGAAAAGGGGGCGACCGTGACGCACTTAACAAGCAGAGCCACGCCCACCTCGCCCCGCACCATGGTCCAGGGCCAGCACTACAAGCTCAGTGTTGCTTCCTCTCATGGGTCTTGACAGATAGACACTCTCCCTCTGCCTGGTACTCACACCTGCTCTGAACCTAGTTCTGGTCCGGAAGGCGACAGTGATCCATCGTCGTCAACCAGACCCGGAACACAGCCGAATGTTCGGAATGTGAAGCCAAGGCTGATGATTAAGCTCATCACAGCTAAGATGCAGCAGCTTTAGTTAACTCCATTTCCCAGATGCCTGGTTGGATACAGAGTGCAGGGACACGGTCTGCCACGCGGGGCTTATCCGTCCTGTTACACATCAGCGATTCCCACTTCCCCTGCGCCGACAGCGTGTGCCACCCGCCCGGCACCCCCGCAGACCCCCGCCAAGCCGAAACACCCACCTCCAGCATCATGGGTCCGAGGGCGTCCTTGTCGATGACGCTCTGCCCTGTGGACGAGACGTCAGCTTTCTGGACCTCTTCATCGCTTGTCGTGGAGGACTTCTCTGTGGGGGGGTGGGGGGGAGATCGGTATGGGGTGAGTCAGGACGCAAATCACGCATTAAAACACCCCAGGATGTTCCCCCACTATTCCAGGAAAGAGCCGGGAGTGAGCGAGGCAAGATGGGAGAAGAATACTAAAGAGCAGGATACATGGCACATGGTAAAAACAGGAGCAAGACGAGCCCAACACATGAAATGAGCCAACCCCATTCAGGACGAAGGAGAGGAGAGGGTGCGGTCAGAGGGGAAAGGCGAGGCCAGGGGCAGGGGGGTCAGGATGTCTCTGTGGGGTTGCTCCAGCTAACAGCAAACAGGACAATGCTACTAGCAATATGAACGGTCACGTGAGACAAGCCCATCTACAGAGCAGTACGGGGACAGGGGGATGGCACACAGGACAGGGGGCCAAGCAAGGGGACGAGCTCCCACGCCCCCTGCAGGCTGACTGGGACCCACAGCCCAGCCAAGAAGACACAGCTGGTGTAAAGGTAATTGATTTGTATTGGTGCTCCAACTCAAGTAAGAGAATGATTGGGATTGCCCAGTTAAAGCAGCAATGGGCCACTTTCACTGTAGCCTCGTACAGAGTCAGTGACTGGACACACTGTCGGGGGGGAGGTGTGTGTTAGGGCACAGCAGACAGGCACAGCTGTGGAAAAGTGCGTAAGAGGCACACGCTAGAGGTAAGGTGCCTGACACCCCCGCAGAGGGCTGAGTCAGCACCTGCTCCACTTCAGGACCCGCCCCCAACGCT